TGGAGTGCAATGGCACAATCTCAGCTCACTGCAACTTTTGCCTCCCAGGTTCAAGTGATTCTCCTGCCTCAGTCTCCTGAGTAGCTGGGACTACAGGCGCCTGCCACCACGGCTGGCTAGGTTTTGTAAAAAATACTAGAATTTTATGTAAGATTTATATTTACATTAAATGCAATTGTGTATCTGGCATCCAGTTTGGCCAAAAATCACAGCATTGTACTAAAGCACCATTAAACTGTAATACACACATATCTTTTTTTTTTTTTTTTTTTTTAAGAGGGGGTTTTACCATGTTGGTCAGGCTGGTCTTGAACTCCGGACCTCAGGTGATCCGCCCGCCTTGGCCTCCAAAGTGCTTGGATTACAGGCGTGAGCCGCCATGTTCGGCCACACATATCTTTTATATAAAGAAAATTTATTTCTTTGGTGGGGCTACAGATTCAAACCCCAAAGCTTCTTTTAAACCCAGAATTACATGACTTGATACATGTTTGGCTTACAATTGAACAGGGATAATGTGAGCTTCATCCTTCCCTACTGTAGAACGAGAAAGTCTTCTTCATTTACTAATAACAGCAAGTTTGCTTCTCAAAAAATATGGAGCTATATCAAAAATTCTATTTCAATTCAGTCTTGTACACATTTACTCCCATTCAAACAGTAATTATATTAGTATTAGTCCTTAAAGAATTACTTACCCAATGAAAGCCACCATTTGCTCCACTATGTGCTTGCTGAACGTTATTATAACAAAAATTTTCTGTAAAGAAAATATCAGTTAAAATAAATTATTTAGTCATCAAAAAACCAACATAAATTCACAATTCTGGTAATTGTCTAAAGAGGTAAGATTGTGCCAATTGCAATTTTTAAATTTCTTTGAAAATAAAAGATAACATTTAATTCAAATATTACCTACTTTTTTTTTTAGATGGAGTCTCACTGTGTCACCCAGGCTGGAGTGCAGTGGCACAATCTCCGCTCACTGTAATCTCTGCCTTCCAGGGTCAAATGATTCTCCTACATCAGCCTCCCAAGTGGCTGGGTCAAGTGCTTCTCCTACCTCAGCCTCCTGAATGGTTGGGTTCGAGCAATTCTCCTGCCTCAGCCTCCCAAGTAGCTGGGATTACAGATGCACACCACCATGCCTGGCTAATTTTTGTATTTTTTAGTAGAGACGGGGTTTCACCATGGTGGTCAGGCTGGTCTTGAACTCCTGACTTCATGATCCGCCCACCTTGGCCTCCCAAAGTGCTGAGATTATAGGCATGAACCACTGTGCCCAGGCCCCTACTTTATATTTTAAAGATGTTTTTTCTTAAGCACAGCCTTAGTCTTACTAGGACTATATGACTATGTAAAACTATAGTCTTACATAACTATATTAGACGGAAAATATGGGTCCTAGAACCCAAGACTGGGAGGGAATAGTGGACATTCATATATTCTAAGAATTTTGGAATTGTATATATAATTAAAATCATGGGATCCCACAAAGTCCCCACCAGTGAAATCAAAGCTGATTACCTCAAGGACAGGGGTCTGGGCTAAATATAATCCAGATCAGGAAAAGACTGTACCTCTTTCATGAAAGGTTCTAATAAGAAGTACCAGGTTGGGCACAGTGGCTCACTCCTGTAACCCCAGCACTTTGGAAGGCTGAAGCAGACTGATCAAAGGTCAGGAGTCTGAGACCACCCTGGCCAACATTGTGAAACCCCATCTCTACTAAAAATACAAAAATTAGCTGGGCGTTGTGGCACACACATGTAATCCCAGCTACTCAGGAGGCTGAGGCAGAAGAACTGCTTGAACCTGAGAGGCAGAGGTTGTGGTAAGCCGTGATTGCACCACTGCACTCTAGCCTGGGTGACAAGAGCAAGACTCTGTCAGGAAGGAAGGAGGAAAGGAGGAAAGGAGGGAAAGAGGGAGGGAAGGAGGGAGGGAGGGAGAGAGGAAGGAAGGAAGGAAGGAAGGAAGGAAGGAAGGAAGGAACCATGAGGCTGGGCATGGTGGCTCATGCCTATAATCCCAGCACTTTGGGAGGTCAAGGGCAAAGGATTGCTTGAGCCCAGGAGTTTAAGACTAGCCTGGTAGCCTGGGCAACATAGTGTGACCTCGAAAGTAAAGATGCCTTTAGGGGATAACGGATAGCAAATATTTTCAACTCAGTTCAACAAATGTTAACATGAAATTATTATTTTTTTTTTTTTTTGAGACGGAGTTTCACTCTTGTTACTCAGGCTAGAGTGCAATGGCGCGATCTCGGCTCACCGCAACCTCCGCCTCCCGGGTTCAGGCAATTCTCCTGCCTCAGCCTCCTGAGAAGCTGG